GTACACTAAGAGAAAGAAGAAGAAGAAGAAGAGAAAGAGGGAGAGAGGGAGAGAGAGAAAGAGAGAAAGAGAGAGAGAGAGAGAGAGAGGCAGATTGATCCTAGTAAACAGTAATTAAGGTTGGGGATAGTGTATCGTGGGATGTCTCCTCTGCGGGAGCGAGTAAAGGGAAGAAAAAGGGAGACAGGGAGGGTTCAAGGGCAGATGAAAGATTCTGAGACAGACAGGGTGAAAGTACTTTCTATCAAACTCCCACAGGGATTTGAATGTCAGGATGCAGCGACCCGACCAACATGTCCATGTGGCCCACAAGGCCATAGATGGGCCACATAGTCAATGCATCAGTCCATCCCTATACTCTAGGTTCTACTACTTTTTTGCTTTTTCATGGGTGAAATGTAAAAAAGCTGCAGGACTCTTAGTCACTCTGTAATATTATAACTAATTTGTTAGTCACAAATCCAGTCACAGAATATCAAAGTTTTCCAGAGATCAAGATACTTCTCCAGACTGTTTGTTTTGTCTGTCCACCAATGACAACTTCAGCTTCATTAAAGCAACCAAAATATAAAACAGGAGACTGAGGAAACTGCTGAGCAGACAACATGTGAGCACATTAAAGCATTGTTTCCCAAAGACTGGGTCGCAACCCTCAGGTGGGTCGCAAGAGTCATTTTTTTGGGTCATCTACCATCATGTTTCCCATTTACGAATGATGTCTATTGACTTGGGTTGCGAAGGTTTGTGACTTTTAAAATATGGGTCCCCAGAAAAAAAGTTTGGGAAACACTGCATTAAAGTACTTCCAATCTAACAACATATTAGCTACTATAGCCGCTCGAACTCCAATTCATAATTTAGGATAACCCACACATATAACATTAAAACCACGTAAAAATATGAAGAATGGTCTAGTGGTATAGAGCCAGTAGGTGGCAGCAATGTATCTCAAGCCATTGTGAAAATGCAAAAGAAAAAGAAGTTGGGCTATTTGTTGACCTTGGTTCAAAACATTAACTTTTTTCTGTTAAGTAACAGGTCACAGGTGAATATGCAGGAATTAAGTATAAGCAAATGTATCAGTAGTATGTGAAAAGTGACTCACTCCAGTCTTAGAATTTTCATGGTGTGCACGGCTTAAACAGCAGAGGCAACTTCAAGAATTAGCCATCACAGACGTCTCAGTCAGGGTAGGGGAAATACCACACTGAAACTGAGGCCTCACACAGAGCCACTGATGCTGGGAAAAAGGAGTCAAGATCTCGCAGAGCGAGTGGGGGGGCTGAAGTGAAATTTAGACCTTACGGGAAGGAATATCTCCCTGGTGAGGAGACTGCCGAAAAGACATTACGTGAGCCTGTGTGGGTGCACATGAGGCCCAGATTTTTCAGAAATGTGCAGGAGGGAATAGCGATCCAGTGATCCCTGCATTCCGGTCATTCCTCCATGCAGAATTTCCAGTCAGCATGAGGCTGAGTGTTCCGCAGCACTGACATCACGAGGGGGTTCCACTCCACTCAGCTTCCACACTCTGCCTCCCGCTCTCTCACAATCCCACCCATATTTGGAAGTGAGAGGAAGGGAATCCCAGATGATGACTCAAAGGCTGCTGTAGCCAAGGGGAATTCTCTCCACATCTGTTTTATGCATGTGTGTGCATGTGTACATTACCTTCGCATGTTTAAGATAGTTTACATCTGTGAGGAGTTCAAAATGACAACGTGGCTAACACAGTTGTCTCAAAAAACAACAAACGTCTGTGTCTATACACAGATGTGAGTGTTGTTGTCCTTCTATGTAAGTTCACATTTTCTGGAAGCTATACTGTTAAAAATACTGTGCAGTGATTAAGCATTTTCAAACTATAAATCCTGAGGATAGATTTTACAGAGAGCGTTTAAGGGCACAGCACATTGTGGTGGTCTGACAGCTCAGAGTGAGTCGACCTGTAAAAACACACCATCACCCTGCGTGGGACTGTCTCCGCAAAATTGAAAGAAGGGGCCACAGGTTACTCAATGAACTCGGCAGTGTGTGACCAATGACCAACATCCTCCTCTACAGAGTTTTAAACAAGAAATTGACAAATAAAATGCAAATCAGATGCAAAAAGAAAGAAGCTGCACTTAAAGTGGATAGCATGTCAACAACATTTATGGCGGGGTACATTTATTAGGGGATAGTCTCCATGTTCACAACATGTTGTGTAAAGTTAAGTTGAACATTTGGGCTTAGAGACTGGATAGGACGGGCTATAGTTGTATAGTTGTTTTTTGAGATCTTCGATTCTGAATTTTGAACAATATCAGACCAATGCTGATCCTTAATATTGGATCGGGCCATCCATAGTTTGGGTGGAGTTAAAGTGAGCAGTTGATGCCGACAGCCAAGGTTGAAAAGTTTAAAGCCATAGTTAGAGATGAAAAGGTCAAAGAGAACATGAAGGTGATTCATGTAACAGTACAAGGACTGTGAGAGAAGGCCAAGCATCTGCTGTGGCCAATCCTTAAAAGATCGTGTAAAGATCCATTGATTCGTTTGTAGAAATAAAATGTACTTTAATTGATTAATTCCATCTTAAAATAAGCAGGAATAAACAGGTTTTTCTGAATTTCATGGGGTTGGTATGTGCTTGGTAAATGATCAGGGTGAGGTCAAGCCTCCTGCTTATGGACTGATAAACCACAAATTGATTCCAATCAGTCTCATCCAGGTAAAAGACCTCCATAACACCAACTAAGATCTGATAGGCCAGAACAATTATATCAGCAACAACATAAATCACTCAAAGTTAAGCACTTCGAGTTGTAAGGGTTCGAAAGAAAATGGAGACTTTAATCCTGTTGTGTTGCAACACTCTTTGATGGATGTGTGATTCATGGGAATTGTAGGGTTGGGTTTGGGAGAGGATAGAGGGGGTCTTGGACTTGGGTCCACAAAGCCACACCAGGGCCTAAATTTAGACACTCTTTGTACTTGCCATGCATGCTGGTGACAGAGGGCTGGGCTCTCTGGGGTTGTCTGTGGTCCAGTGTATCAGAAAGACTGCTGTTGTTCTCACTGGCAGTCAGACACGCAAATGTTCCCTCAAGCAACCCAAAAAGAAAGAAAGCTTTCTTGGAATATTCTCTTTAGCTGCACAGCCTGTTGCGTATGATACTCCTGGGAACTATAATGCGAATAATTCATGGACAATATCTCACCCGTGCTCTCTTTGCCTTAGACCACAGTGACATAAATCTAACTTATTTTAAGGAGGAGTTGTGATTGTGTTCGACAAGGCTCGAGCATGTCTTCAAATCTGGGCAAACATCTGTAAAGAGAGATGTTTACAGACTTTTACAGGTCTGGTGTGTAACATTTAGAGTTTATATACAGATATTGAATATACCACTCATAATTATGTTTGCATGAGAGTATAATTAGTATAAAAGTAAAAAGAATTACTCGCTCTTGTAACTGTAAAATAAAGCTTTGATATGTATTTCAAACTAGACAACCCCCTCAGTTATGACATTCAGTTGTTCTGATGTTGTAAATGGAGTTGAGGTCATTATTTCAAATCCAGCCTTTTGCCATTTTAAATCAAACCGTATAGCCACACATTTACAACACTAACCATTACTTAATTTGACACATTTGTAATAAAAAAGTTTTGCTAAAGTCACCATATTTCTTCATTATTTTCAATAGATGTATAAAGTGTTTTTCTAGGTAAAAGCATTACAGCCAAAATAATAATAAAAAAAGATCAATCATGTGGTAGGTATAAGACAGTGTTTTTACTGATTTTAACCGTCGAAGTGTTGATCCTCAAAATCAGACATAAAGGATGTTAAAAGTTCACACTGAAGCAGTAATAATTCACGGTTGTATATACTATAATTAGATAAACCAGAAGCTAAATGTTAGCTGAAATGAATGAAATATTTACCAACAGATCAAAAATTCACTCAAGAGACATTTCTGTCCTATCTGCTAAGATAAAAACACTTCGCCATCCTTAGAAAGTCGACCCTACAGTTTGTTTTAGTGCCATGAAGAGCCCGAGGGCCAGACTTTAGACATTACTGCTTGACATCATGCTGCTGTCTGCAGGGACACTGAACGGAAATGTCTAAATGATCAGTTACAAAGCTTAACTCCTCATTACCAGGAAAGCTAATTAAAAAAGACAGTTAACTGTGGTTGTTTTTAGAGGAGAGGGGAATCAACAGGCCTCGAACACTATATAAACATTACAGAGGGAAGACTGAATGGAAGAGCGAGGCGATGACACTGATGATAGTCAGCTAATGGGACGGAAACACACACACACACACACAAACACACACACACACACAGTGCAGCAGGGAGGATGAAAGGAGGGACAAAAACAAGTGAGTCACCAAAAACCAACTGGGACCCACAGTGTCACATCCTGTGATAGAGATGAGAGAGAGAGAGAGAGAGAGAGAGAAAGAAAGGGGGGACAGATGGATTTCCCAATCTGTTCTGTTCACGTTTGCCAATGGGCTACTGGTTTCTGAGCATGTTGAGGAGACCAGAGACAGTTTGACTCTTTGTGAATCTTCTTACCTGTGTGTCATAATTATATCTTTAAATTCACATTAAATTTGAAGTCATCTTCATTTCATTTTGCAGAACCATTGAGAATTTCCACAAATGAGTGGGTGTACTTTAACATTTTATAATTATTATTTTAAAGTAAAATTATCAATTGAACAAAGAACAGTTGAATTCAAAGTTGGAGAATATTGAACTTAAAGACAGAATTCTGAGGTTATGGTCGGTATGTTTTGTGTAATGAGATGAAAACGACTTTTCCGTTTTTTTCTGACAGTTAAAACAGTACAATTAAATTCAAACGGTTTCCCTTAGATCAGTTTACTTACAATTCTTGGTCGCCATCTTGTGGTGTTTGTGATGAACTTCAATAAAACGGCCTCGGCGCCGCAAGGACTGTACCACTGAAAAAGTAAAGAGGGTTGATATTAAATACGTGACTGTATCGTTTTTTCCACAATTTGTAATAATTTCTTGCTGGGATATTCAAACATTACTTCAGAAGAAAATTTATGCAATCTCTGTCAAAAAAATACATATATATAGTACAACAGAGTGATAATACGATGTATGTTTTCTTTTTCGTTTCCCCTGTGGGAACATACGCCGGCGTTAATACGCGGGTTTTCTGAGTTCTCGTGTTGCATGGTAGGAGAACGACACAATTTCAAATTTTAACAAGAAATCTTGAAAAAAACAAACCATATTTACACTTGAAGAAGTTTACGCTGATAGATATCCGCATTTTGCAGAATCATACAAAATGACAGCCAAGAAGAAGCGAACGCCTGTCGTAGACAATGACAGCTGGGTTGTCATCGCTGCAGGTCTGTTGTTAAACAGCAGTGAGGGTTAGCTCACCATGCTAACACGCTACAAACAAGACACGATAGCAAAGTTTTCCAAGCTAAGTTAGTGCTAGCATGCGAGCTACATATTGATTTAGTAAAAATAACACAATGCTAGAAAAGCCTGTGCTTGTGACTTCTGACTTACACATGTTCTCAGTGTGACATGAACGTATGCAGGGAGCATTGTTGCTTTCAGAGATGACACTTGTGTTGAGCTGGAAATAAGTTGTTGTGATGCTAACGCTTGTCTCCATATTCACAGACTGCGCCATCAACACACAGGTCTGCGACAGTGAATCAACTTTTATCAAATTAAGGAATCCATCGACAGGTCTAACACTTTCTAACATTTCATACCACTGTCAAGTTCTGCAATAAAAAACTTACAATATAACAATGTAATTTGTTTCAGTGATGTGTGGGCTTGGGGACTGCTATGAATAATTGTTGATCAAATCTCCAGTCTAGGGTTACCTAAACCTTAAAACAACCAATTTTTTGTTTACACACTAAAAACCTTAAATCGGATAAATGTTTACTTGCATTTTGCAGACACGTTTTGAGTGATTGCAGAGCATCACTGCCACTTGCATATGTTGTATATCAACACAGTTGTTTTTCTTTACATTAGTTTATGAAGTGTATTAATTACTTATACAGATTTATCGTCAGTTGTCTCATGGAATAAAATATCTGGAGCCATGGGAATTTATCTCTTTGACAAAACAGCAAATACATAAATGTAGTGTTTCAGAAACCACATATTCACATACATTAAGCTGAAGTTGTCTCTTGAAGAATTAATTTCAAAGAACAATTACATCATATAAGTTGAAAAAAAAACACAACATTGTCAATATTTCAAATTATAGTCTAAATAAATGTGCAATTTGCTGCCAAATGCATATGGTATCCCTAAACCTTGGAATGTCAGAGTAAAAGATAAAAAGTCAGTTAATGGATTGTTTTAGGCTGTCAACATCAAATGTCACTGAAGGTGCACTGAATGTGGAGAATGAAATAGTAAACATTGTAGTAACAGTGCCACACTTTCTCTTTTCCCCCCCAATCTCTCAGATGCAGCATCCCTGTACATGTTGAGTGCAGGAGAAGAGCTGTATGAGGTCAAAGCCTTTGAGGAAGATTTCCACTCCTGGTTTGTTGGTCAGACTGTACAAAGAGGTTGGTCTCCATTACAAACAGGACCCACGTTGTGACGTTCGTTGCACTCACTGCAATGAACTTCACAATGCTTAAAAACGCTGATCAGTGTAGAAAAATAATTTAAGTGCTGTAAAAATAAACATACTTTTCAGTGGAACTGCACCACAGTCTAAGTAAACTTCTGTGTTTTAATAATATTTTTGTTATACAGATGGAAGACTCCTGTTTGTGACACCAATGGATCCTCTTTTTCTCATCTTGCCTTATTTGAGCAAATCTGGAAAAGAGGTTTTTCTTTTTTTTAATTACCATGATTCAAATTCTTCCCCACCAGAACATGATTGTATGTTTTAACAGTCTCAACTGAACCAACCTCTTTCATGGTTTTATCTATTTTCTAATTTTAACCTCAGGGAAAGTTCCAGCCTGTGGATCAAATTGTTATGGACGAAGACTTCCCAGCATGCCCCAGGCTGATGACCTGCACACGGTCCCTGTCTTCCCTTCACCACATTGCAGAAGAAAAGGGTAATGTTTACATTTGAGACTGATGATGATTCCAACTATTGTGTAAATATTTCTTACTTAAGCCTGTGTTTGTTTTTGCAGAGGTGGGGGAGTTAAAGTTCCATCGCTACAGTCAAGAGAAGACAATGATCTGGTTACAGAAAAAGGTTTTTAGTCTTCTTAATGTCAGCTGTGTTAGCATGCTGTTTCAGTTTTACACAATGGAGACTTTTTTTATTACAGGTGGAGAGAACAGTCGTTGCCCTAAAGAATAAAGGTATTTCAGTGGGTGAAGGCGTCAAGTCCACGACATATGTCAGAGTAAAGTTAGAGTCAGACTATCAGGAAGGTAAGCCAGCTTTTTGAATCAACCTTTATTTCTTGTGTTGCGTGTAATTTAATGAGGCCACTAGATGGCAGTGCTACCGTGCAGTTTTTGTCTACGTTGGTCGTCTACGTCACACATGTTCTGTCACTGTAACCATAAAATATTTGAAATGCAAATTATTTTCTTTTTTATAAGTGAGTTTAATTCTTCCTTCTCCCTGACACAGAGGACTATCTGCGTTATGCCCATGGCCTGATATCAGAGTACATCAGTGAAGACCTGAGCAAAGCCCTCCTTAAACACCTACAGTACGTTCAGAAGTCTTTTAACACCTTTGACACATAAATGATCATAATTGCGTGATTGGCTGTGAATGAGCAGCAAGAAATAAGTGAAAGGCTGAGATTTTTTCTGGACGTGCTAAGAAATGATTGTGAAAAAAAAAGCGGAATTTCTCATAAAATTTGTGTCACAGTAAAGAAAGAGAATAGGGTGAGTTGGAAATACAATCACAGCTCTTTCACCTTCTTCACAGATTACCAGAGCTCACAAGTCCAAAAGAGACAGAACCTCCCTCTAAGGTATGTCTCCATCCTTACACCCAGTGCAGTAAAGTTAAATAATGTCTTCATCTACATGCAGATACAAAGTTTTTGCACCACTTTCATTTCACTTTGTTGCTGCCAAGTTGAAATACCATCTGCTTTTAAGTCAATCAGTGACCTATGGTTTGGTGGTGTCCCTCTGGTGTGATGACAAGCTTTTCTTGCTTCCTTATTTGGCAGAAAAGAAAACTTTCAGACAAACCAGTAGAGGCCGGAGAGGACTACACCAAATTCAACAGTTCAGACTTTGCACGGAAAGTGAGTTTCTACCAAACAATTCCACTGAAATCCTCATTGTTATACTAAACAAAGCTTGTGTGTTTGTTTCTGCTCTTCCTGCTCATGGTCCCCTGTCCTCCAGCTTCCCGATGTGAGACTTCATATGTCTCACATCTCTGTGGGTTTTACTGTGTACAAATCTGTTTTTCTCTCCTTGAGTCTTTGCTCAAGAAATGTAATCCATTCCCTTCTGTCTGTGTGCAAGGTCTCCTTTTTATCTTATTGATTTTGTTTTACCTTCTACATCGTCTTGTTGCAGCCGCCGAAGAAGATGACGGCTGCTCAGAAAAGTCTGGCCAAGGTGGACAGGACCGGCATGAAGCCCATGTCGTCTTTCTTCAGCCCTAAGGCCAAAGCAGAAAATAAGTGATTATTGTATAGTTTGTTACCATGCATTTATAATAAAGACACATTCAATCTCATGTGATTGAGAGTTTAAATTAAAACATGACAATGGAAAATATATATATATTTATATTAAGGGAGAAGTAAATTATACTAACTTGCCCATAATGGTTTAGCTTATTTATTAATTACTTTAAACTACTCAGCTCTGTATTGTACTCATAAATATAACTGTTATGTGAAGCCACTTTTCTAAATTTGACATTGAACCTCAGTGCCTGTAAGATGTGCAGCCTGTGCAGGTCTGAACCTTCAACTGTTAATGAAGGAAAGTTGCCTGTTTGATTACATTTAGGAAATGTTAGTGGGTAATACCTGTTTAAAGAGCTGCCAATAGGTAGATGACTGGCTGACCTCCATTTGTTACGCTCAGGTCCCAGCTTAAAGCTTTCTATGAGCTTTAAATCCTAGAAATAACTTTAGATGAAAGAATACAGAGTGACAACATTGCTAATGGCAAACATGAGCTGCTAAATTGTAAGGGTATTGTCAAAATATCTAGAAATACAGTTCAAAAGTTGTCAACCAAAGTTACCAATGCTATTGAGATATAAATGAGCTGTACTAGTAAAACAAATGCTTTTATGGCCATTTTTGTAAAAGAAATAGTTGAAATTAAAAAACACCTACACTTGCTGTATGATAACTAATGATTACATCCTATAGGGTTTTTAAAATGTTAACCATAATATATATAAAAGTTAACAAATAAACCATGAGCAGACAACAGACCTTGTAAAAAAAAGGCAACAAGTCAACCATAAATTATATCAAAACATTTAGCATAAATGACCAGTTAAAAACCTTAGAAATGTGATCTAACAAATGTTTTTCAGTTAACCAGAAGAGCAAAGAATCAACCATGAAAGAAAACCTTTACCAAAACATATTAGCAGCAAAGTAATGGCAAGACGTTTAAAAGAAAAGAGAGTAAAACTCACTAAAGGCCATCAAAACTTAGCAAAGATTTGTCAAAGGTATATCCACAAAATAGCTACTAATAAAGCAAATTAATTACTTCAAATGAATAAGTAAATACATTCTTTCATATAGAAAACAAACAAAAAAAATTCCAAGGTTAGGCAAAATGAAAACAAATAGCTGCAATCCATTAAAAATGTGTAAGAGCTTAAATTTAGTCAATTTGTATCAACCCTCGCTTTGTACAACCAGTGACAGCTAATTTTAGCAGGCTAATGTTTATGTTAGCAGTGGGACCTGACTGTGGTCACTCCTAAACCCTGAGGGATTGACACTTTTTCTTTGCTTTATTTAAATGATGTGCTGTAGCTTCAACGTCAGTTGAGTAATCGCCTGGACAGAGAACTGTCCTGGTCTTTGTCCAAGTGGAGGCAGTACTTCTGGTTTCAAATGTCTTTTTTAAGCTTCACTGCTTTTTTAATTTGGGCTTGAAGCGCAGTGTCTGAAATGCACTCTCCACCACTTTGGGCAGGTGGATCGGGTTCCTCTGAAGTCGAAGTCTGCTGCTGGTAGATCCACTATTGTTTTTCTTCTTTGTGGCTTTTTCGTTGGCACCGTGATGAACTGCTGTCTGGTTTGACTCATCTGCGACCCGAGGAACCCGTAACACCCAGTTAGAGTGGAGGTCATGTTCAGCTGAACTGGAGGCCACTGTGTGTGGAAGAGAAAGTCAGAGTCAGAGGCTCAAAGCTGTTGCTCTAACAACTTTACCCCTGGGTATATATATGTATATATATATATATATATATATATATATATACATATATATAAAATAATATGGAACAGACTCACAACAGGCTTTTGCAAAACACTCACTAAAAATAAGTAATTGTCCTTAAACTGACCTATGAAATCCACATCTGCGTGTCCATCATCAATGTAAGGTTTACGCAGGGGGAACAGAGTCACAACAGGCTTTTGCAAAACACTCACTAAAAATAAGTAATTGTCCTTAAACTGACCTATGAAATCCACATCTGCGTGTCCATCATCAATGTAAGGTTTACGCAGGGGCTCGTTGTCACAGCTGGCGATGACAGCATCAAAATACTGCAGCGTGTCTTCTTCCGTGGGGACAGGAGGTGCAGAGGGTTTGGCTCTGTGGTTCTGTGGGTAAAAACATGAGGAATGTTCGTCCGTGTTATAAGAAAAGACTTCTAACATTGTTTTGTTTGTAAAGTGAAAAACATCTCCACTTTAATATCTGAAGTCTGACATTTGCAAATTTAATTTTACAATACAATTCTACACTAAAAAATTATCCTTTTTGTTTATTTATTTATTTTTTGGTTCATGACACAAACTGACTTTTAGGATTAAAACAAAAAAGCCATTACGTAGCAAATGTAGCTATTTTGGCCAACTTTCAGTTATACCTTAAGCTAATTGTTTTTGGCTAACATTTAGCTACTTTATATATATATATATATATATATGTTTAAATCATTTATGCAATAGATTTTATCACTATCTTAGTAAGTTCTGGTACACTTTTAAACATGTTTGTACTGTCCATTCCTTCATGAACCTAATGCAGTGATGACAACTCATGGGTTGGGAACCCAGTTGGGGTTGACAAATGATTTCATCGGGTCAGTTGACACAGTTACCAAAGTTACCACAGAAAAACATACATTTAAGATTGGGAGTTTGGTTTGGTTGTATTGTATCTGAACAAATATAATGTATGTGTTTCAGGTTTTACAACAATTACTTAGAAAGGCCACTTAATGTACTTCAGTTTCAGTTGCTTCCAAAGAAAGCTGGTGACTCCTCCTGCTGCACTCCTACCTTGGCCTCCTTGCTGGGTGGTGGAGGTGCAGGTTTCTTCTTATAGAACACTGTGGCCTTGGCGTCTGCACTTTTCAAATCGCTCACACTCTTTGTGTAGCGTCTCCTCAGAGCCACCAGTGCCTCCAGGTACTCCAGACAGTTCTGTTGATGGGAGTAGAGCCATATCCGGTCCTCCTGCCTCTGATAGTAGTACAAGGTGGATTCAATGCTCACTGTACTTTTGCTGCGCTTTAAAGTGGAGCCTGCGGCTGCTGTCTGGGTTTTCTCGCCCACCACGAGCATGGAAGTACTGCGGACCAGGCGGACAGTGCAGGCATTGTGGTAATCATGCTCAGAGCGAATCCCACCACCACCGCTACCATCCCACCCTCTCTGTCCTTGATGGTTGGGACGGAAGGCATTGTTAATTTTCCTGAACATTCCTTCAAATGGAGTCTCTCAGGCTGACAGATGTGACCTCAGATTCCTCAGTGCTGGTGAAGTGTCCATCCATAGTCCACCTCTTCATCCATCAACAAATATTTCGATTTCAAAAAGGTTTCAAACAAACAAAATGGTGAAGCAACCATTAAACCAGCTGTAGCTGTTGACCGGTACAAGACGCTGTCCACGGTGCTGAATTGGTCCCGACACTGTTACTGCTGTCCAACCTGTCCTCAACATGTCTTTGAATGTTATCGGATGCTGCTCAGCAACTCTGCTGTAGCAACCAGTCTGTAACCTGAGACTGGGTGATGCCATTACCTTAGCCCTGTGTCGGATACTGTATCCTGACTCATGTTTACACACCGACTCACTGTGGGCCACGCAACAGTCTGGGAAACTCCAGCTTCATAAGGCTAAATTGCTAAATTTATATTACATGTAGAACATAAATATAGTTCTTTGGCAAAAAAATAATAAAGTGTGTGTCTCTCCTCCGATGTCACACACTTCCTAGTTGTCTACACTGATGTCATTCTTGACTCTTTTTGGCAGCTCCTATAAAACTAATTTTATTTTCGAGTCGTTGAGGGGATGGCGGACATTGAGGGGAGCCGTTAGCATCCCTCCTGTCTTTATCAATTATACATCAGATTTTTCTCCTGTTTCAATTGCTTCTATTAATGGGCTTCCCTGGTGGAAACAAAGGACAAACATGAAAAGCTGAAGCAGTTCAACTATGAACTCAGAACAGGTACTTTCCTCACAGACAAATCCCAGCTGAGAACATCAATATTATATTTATTTTTAACTACTTTCACTTGATCACTATACAGGGTTTCCATCATTGTTCAGGTCTAGTGAAGACTTGCTGTGGTTTTCTATCTCAACTGGTATATGGTTGAAAAGAGGAAACGGTGAGTCACGGTTATGCAACCGAGCATGAAGTCAAAGTCTTCATGCTGTTAGGGCTGTAAGGACACAGAAGAACCTCTCCAGAAATACAAGCATCTAAACCCTAGACAGAAGAAGAACAAGAACTGGGCTTGTCAAAGGTCATTGTGTGATCTTTGGCCAAAACAAAAATAACAGAAATGCACATGTAGAAATGATATTTCACTTCATGACTTTCTGTTCTGCTTTCAAACGCACCACTCTCACAAATCTGTTTCTTTTTACAGAGAAACACAACTACACAGAAAAACCCTGGCAACACCTGTTATTTCCTAAAGAAAAAGTAAGGTTGAAGTTTAGTAGCTAAATTCAACCATGAGCTGTAAAATAGATTAGAACAGTCCAGGGAACAGACCTTATATATATATGAATAAATACTTGAATAGACCTTATATATATATGAATAAATACTAAATGTGTAGGAACAAAAAAAAAGATTTTGGAAGGTAAAGATGGAGGGATGAGAGAAAAAAAGGGAAAGATTCCAGAGAAGATTCCTGGACACAATGAGAGACATGAAGGCTGGTGGTACAACAGCAGAGGACAAGGTCAGCTCATGACCTGTTTTAGCGCCACCTAAAGGAAGCATCTGATTAATGGAGACAGGCTGGTGTCATTTTCTGCTGGTATCAGCTGTAACTACTATTTACAGAACAAAGAAACCCTAACATTCCTACTTCCTCTTTTCAAACTACAAATCAACCAGTTTCTAGTCTCCTCGTTTACAACAGCTTCAGGTTTATAACTGTTGTAGTAAAGAGCCACAGAGAGGCAATTTGTCCGTCTATTGTTTTTGTAAGACGAGTGAATTAAAAACCAGCAACCAGAAGGGCTGACTCCAACTCAAGGTAGGATGAATGTTGTATGATATAATGATATGAACATTTTTTATTTATATATTTTTAACATACATTTGTGAAGTGTTTTCTGTGAATAATTTTTTTCAGTTTTGGGATTTTTTTCTACTTAAAAATTACTTAAAAATTGAGAAATAAAAAGATGTTTGTGAGAATACACAAAAACACCCATGTATGACTCAAAAAAAAAAAAAAACATCGGATGTGGGTGGTTGATTTAACATCTCATAGGACAGAAGGATAGCAACAAAGTTGAAACCGTTAATGGGTTTATTAGACAGCAGTTAGATGAAGTTAGAGAGGAGAGGTGGAGATGGTTTGGACATGAGGACAGACAGTGAATATACTGGATGAAAGACATGGGGGTGGTTGATCTTCTGTGGTGACCCCTGAAGGGAACAGCCAGAAGAAGATGAATACTGGATATTAATGAAAGGTTGTGTGTAGGTGTACTGGGTCATATTTTATACTTTTACAGACAGGTGGGAAACATTTTTGCTATGATAAGAAGAAAAAGAAGGAAACTGAGATTGAGCACCAAGTTTTATAACTCTAGATTTTATATAACTTTATATAACTTTGTCTAGAAGTTGCATAGAAAGTCGCATAGAAAAAAAGACACATGGTAAACCTACCTATGTGGTAACCAAAGTGATCAAAAAACAAAAGATGCAGCCATTAATAACAAAATAAAAAGCAAATAAATAAAGTAAATAGCACTAAAAGCTACAAAAAGCCTGAGGTCAAGCGGAGCCTACATATTTATTGGCTTAACCATCCAATAATAGTACAATTCTATATTTCCTAGGATGCTCTGTGAAGGCAGATTGTTGAGCATGGCCTTTGATGAAGAACTAAACGACTTTGGTCATCAAAAGACTTTACAGAGCAACTATGGACTCCAGACACCTGCTGTCCCGCTCACGTCAGTCTCCGCTGGACAAGGGCTCACCATTCATCGTACTTCCCCTGAGCAGATCGGCAGCCAGGACAACAGGAGAGCATCACAGGTGTGTGCTTCTCACCTTGAGGTGTTTCCCTCCAGATCTCATCCAACCAGCAGACAGATCTCTCCAGAAATAGAGATCCCAGCTCAGGGTGGCTCTGCTGGAGGAGACGTTCCTTTCTTGGTTCCCTCTTTTTGTCAGAGCATCTGTAAAAATTACAGTGACCTCCACATTGGAGGAGACCAGGTTCTTCCTCTATCAGCCAATGATGCTGAGCTGAGGATCACCACTGAGGCCCAACCTGCTGGTCCCTTCCTCCAGTCCTGTGATGTTCCCTCAGATGTGGACGACTCTCTCTTGGAGCGAACGTCCCATGATGCCCTTCTGAACCAACTGAGAGGGAGCTCTAGTCGTTTGAGACAAGGCAGCACCCGTGACCGGAGTTTTTTATTCCAGGGCAGAGAGGGTCCGTTCTCCAACTCCCTTCTCAACCACTATCTGGAGCAGAAGCTCTTGGATCTGTACCAGCAGTACATGATGGAAAACATGGCTAGAGAACATTCAGATCAAGGCCCTATTTGTCCTCTGCTGGGGTCAGAGGTGGTTCTTACCAGTGTGGACCAGATCACCATGAAGCTGAGTCGGGAGGGAAATCTGGAGGCCGGTTTGACCAAGGACATGGTCCTCAGTTGTCTTCTGCGGGTTGCAGGAGACGTGCAGTCCAGTGAGATCAGCACTCCATTTCTGCAGATTTCAAATGAGTCATGCATGGAACAGCTCCCGCAGAGAAAGGAGGAGTAACTCCTCACTCATGAATCAAATCATCTGTTCCTTCTTTGACTTCAGCACCACAGATAAGAAGTGATGAGTGCTGTGCTCTAATTATCTGTTGTTTTTCCCCCTCAAGGACATTCAAGACAGAAACTAAGAACTGCAACTTTCTCCCGTTTTCAAAGCACATTCACTTCTCACAGACATCTTTCAAAACACTGTTGTCTGGGTCGAGGCCTGGAAGTTTTATATATGTGATTATTATTTGACTGCTGCTGTAAAATATCTCTTTGTTGTTCGGTGCAGGTGAACTTTGTCATTTATATTCAGAAATATAAAGACTGAGTTAAAAATGTATTTCAGTAGAATAAAGTTCTTCTGCGAGTTTAAATTCCTCTTTTCATTCAGATTGTTTGACCTTCACTGTCTTGAATGATGGAAGTGTGGAGTTTGACACCAGGTTTTTTTTTATTTATTTCCCACATATTTCTTCTCTTTCTGCTCACCTTAAATACAAAGTTCACTCGTGTAAGTACAGTACCTACGCCGGCACCCTGGAAATCACAGGGTTTCATTCAGAGCAGGGCTTTCATTAAAGGAGACGCCGGCTTGTATCCAGCAGTTAACCTCCAGAACTGAAGATAAAGACCTGGAGGAAATTCAAAGGCTGTGAAGTCAATTCAAGTCAAGTCAGTTAATTTTGGATTTTTAACGGCTGCTTCTGTTGGCTACTGGGTGCAAAATTGAATTGGCTGATTTCAACGTTGTGGTATCACGCAACAGAAACCATCTAACAACAATTAGGTAACACAAAACGTAAAATTCTTAATTTAAAATATTCCAGCTTATAGGATTTATCAACTGAGGGACAGCTGGGAGATAGTGTTTGAAAGAGAGGAGATGGTCAGAGGCACAAAAGTGGTGGGCTCTCACGGTCATGAAAACAGGCAGGTCAAAACAGAGGCTAAAAGAAAGACAGCTATGGTACAGAATCACCAGACTAGGATCAAAAGTCAAACCAGTGGCAAGGTCTGCTCAGGGGGAAGTCACTGGGGAAACACGGGAGAAAAGGTTCATTCTAACAAAGCACAGCTTACAAACTGGCAATACAAAAAGAAGAAGTGAGGTGTATATTTACAGACAGCACCTGGAAATATACACCTGGAAGACAAATACTGGGTGGGACACGTGAAAACTAAATAGAGCAATACAACTAAAAGTAGAAGTGAAACTAAAGAAAAAAAAACCTCAATCCTGTTGCTATGAACCAGGAGGACGATCATATTCCAAAAGGAATGCTAATCCACATCCTGAAGTGTGTGCGTAGACAAGCTCAGAATATAGATGTTCATGTTTCTAATTTTTAAAGGTATGTGGAAATCTACACTTGTACTGACTAAATGGCTGGCTCTAAGGCAACTTCAGACATCTTTATTCCATCCATCCATATTTTAATTGTAGGATTTGACCCCGTCCCCCAAAAGTCAAACAATAATAAAATCATTCTTCTCAGATATATGTGATGTATTGATGATGGTGCCTGCAGTTCAATAAATAGTCACAAGGGGGAAGCAACTTCCCCTTAACGTTAACCCTGACGACTTTGACGTGAATCTTCTGCACCTCTTGTCTTCTCCTTCTCCCCCTCCTCCTTCCACTCACCATCTGTCCCTTTCAGCTAATACTTCATATCACCTGTGTCCTGCTGCTATTAATCTATGATGTCATTAAGACGTGCTGTAAATCTGTCGCTCGTAGGCTCTAGAGAACCAGTCATGAATATGACTTTGTTCTTGTGATAGTGTTTCCTCAGCTTTAGTAAACAGATTTCAAAGTTGTGATAGTGCTATCAACTCAGGACGATGTATTCTACTGGAGTATTCACATCATACATGAGCCACAGGCACAGACAAGCTGTGAATGATTGAACTTGCTCACTGGCAGGGACTTGTTATTTTTCTAGATTTCCTCTTGTTTATAAGTGCATCAAAAGTCCCTCATCTCCATTCCAACTCAACGGAGCCGTGGCCTTCTGTTTGATCAGGTCTCTCGCACTTCCTGTCCACTCAGAGACGCAAAAAACTTGTTTACTGAGATTGAAGCCCTGTAAATTCTTCAAGGCCATTGAGACACATGTTTGGTATTTCTGCCTCTGTCAGATTTTCAGAGTCCAGGTACATGTCAAAGAAACTTGGTCCTTCAGACATAAATAAAAACACACACACACAGACTCATATATAAATATCATTAGCACAATGCCAAGTTGTGGGAGTGTATTCAAACCCAACTAGCCACAGACCTTGGAAAAAAAAAACAGAAGAAAAACAGACCTCCTTTTTTAGTACTATGCAAAGGTCTAAAGAAAAAAACTTTACATCATGAAAAATGTAAAAAGAAATGAAATGAAACTAAAAGTTTGGAATTCATTTTAAAAAACTAAAAGCAAAAACACTAATTGTTAACTATTTAGCTGCTAAGCACCTACATAAGAACAAAACTTCAGAAAATAAAGAGCTATAAAGTTCACCTAGAAACAACTAAAAGCTGAGCAGGAATAAGTACAAAAAACAACAAACCAAAAGTAAACTTACATTAAAACATAGTTACTCTTAAATGCAACTGTCAAATGAAGGCTAGCCCAGAGCCACCGGAAAATCAGCAGGCTAGATAACGAGCAAACCTTTAGCCATGATTGCAGCTAATTTTAGCTCTGAACTGGCAAAAAGTTGTTACATGTGATCTAAAATGTATTAAAAAAAGAAAGGATTAATCACAATTAGTAAACATTTAATAGATAAAACAAAAATGCTAGAGGTTAAATGAAAAATGTAACATAAGACCGGTTTAAAATAATATATGTATATATAAAAATAATAATCTAAAAATTGTTGACGTAAAAAGGAAGCAAGGTGGCCCCAAAAAGCCAAAATATTACTAAAAGTATGAGTAGAAAAAACTGAAAGTTGGCCATTACAAAAATATGTGAGCCACATATATATAAATACCATGAAATGTTGCCCCAGGGGTATGAAGTTAGTGGTCTATTGTTTTCAAGTCAATAATTCTGTCTTTTGTGAAACACAAGGGAGACCGATATTAAACACCGATGGACTAGTCGCCAAATGAAAGCTGAGAACAAGCAGACTGCAGTGATTTAGAAAAAGAAAAGAAAAAGAAATAAAAAAACACTTTTCATGGCCTAGCAATAAAACTTACAGGGAGATGGTGAAGTGTTGGAGTGTTTTTCCGAGGTTCATAAAGTAATTTCCTCATCACAAAGGGCTTTTAACATGGAGGGCGGCAGAAGCAAGGCCACAAGATTTCATATCAAAGCCAAGGTCCCAGATACAATCTCACTATTGTGGCTTTAATGCTATGTAGAACTCAGTGACTTGCCTTTCTTTAAAAAATAAGCTTTTTGTACATAACCTTGTTAATTGGTACAGTCATACTGTTTACTTAGAATTTCTCTTTGCTTTGTGACCGTGGGAGTTAATGCTCCCTATCACAGCCTGTCAAGGCCTCTTCAGAGCCAAGATCTTTTGAGCCCTTTCTGGCTTTGACAGACATGTAAACATACAGTGCCCACATTTTTAGTCTGTCACTTTCAACCTATGAACTCCTGTCTGATGAGATTCCAGTGAACAGTGAGTGAGTAATATGGACATAATGGATTTCTTGGCAGTTTGTCCGCATCGTAAAGGAGAGGTCAAACTGTTCACCACTCATAGTGTTGGTTTTCAAGGTCACCAAGTACAACAAGAAGAAGAAAAACAATACACAGTATGTGGTCCCACACATACAGCCAGTTACAAAAAAAACTTCTGAGGCAGACCTTAAAAAACTTCTTGCCAAGAAGCATGCACAACACACACGTTTCACAGGAGATCGCACTGTGATAAACATATACCAAATAAAAAGACCACTATGACCTTTTTTTTAAAAAAAAAATGCAAAAATGATAAATATAAAACAAACAAACACGATTTTACCATAAAATGTGTATCCATGTGTGTAATTTGAGCTAAACATTTAAATATATTAGTGCAAACTAGCCAAAAATCACATGACATAATGATATAATATGACTTTCCTATAAAAAGAATAAAGCTTTAAATAAACCTATCACAAAAGTATAGTTGTACTCAATGTAATTGAATAATAATAATAATAATAATAATAATAAAAGAAAAATAAACTGTACTAGTGGGAATGGTTGGAAATTCAAAAGATGCCGAGCTACTGATAAATGTGAGAAGAACCTGAGATGAAATATTGTTGTTTATCCTGCTACTCACTTTTATGATCTCGGCCATTAAGTCATTCATTTCACATGTCAGTAAAAATATTAGTAACTTTAAAATGCTTTGGTATTTGTCCTAATGAGATTACTGTTTATGTAGCAACAACAAATCAAATCCTAGTCCTAATTTATGATCAGAATCTACTTCTAATCTTAGGTCTAAAGCAACTCTTCAAAAATGTCACCAAAGCTACAGTTATACTTGGCCCACCCTCGCAGTCTCCTCGGCTTCTTTGACCAAAGAAAAATTCTTTTAGTTTCACTGAAATGACTCAACGTCCAAATGCCACAGAGTTGGAACACTGTTGGCAGTGCTTCCTCCCTCCCTTACTCCCAGCTTGTGGTTGATTGACACGGAGATGTGTACCGTTGGTGGTGGAACAGGAGAACACACATTTCCCGGTCAGTTAGCCACTCAAGGTTGCAGAGGGCCTGCAGCGCAGCAGCTGACCTTGGCAAAGCCGGAGCAGACTGAGAAAGACCTTGAGAGGCAGAGAGGGGCAGAGCTGGGGGAACATAATGTGGAAACTATATATTGCAGCACGCAGAGTGAATAAGTATGACGACCAACTGGGAAGAAACAGACCAACTGGCTAGAATTGATGTAAGAAATGTATATTGAGTATTTAACCAGTAATTGGCTTTTGAAAATATTTCGAACGAACAAAAATTATCCTATTGTGTAAACTTTAATAGTAACAATAATATTTAGTTAGCTAATTTTTTTTTAGTTTTTTTTTAGCTTGACTTGCTGGGCTGAATTAAAACCTATTTTTTTTATAGTTTTATTTTTCATAGAGCTATTTTTCATAGTGTATGCCCAAGTCATTAACATCTGGAAATTGTTTGACTATCCCCATGTCATGCCTATGGCTTCACTTCACTGTTTAGCCCTTCATTTAAAACATGATCAAGGTCCTTCCTGCATGACCTGCTACAGCCTTACACTACCAGCCTTAGGTCAGAGGTCAGATGCTACATGTGATACCTCGAACACAATGCATACAGTCAATGTTTTAAAAACAATCAATGACTGAAGACCTTAAATCACAGTATGTACCATAAAAAGTGCTACATTCATGAAATATATAATTATAATGATTATAATTTTGCACTATGTTAATTGTTATTCAGATCTAATACTTTTCCTGTAATTCTTGTGGATGCTTAGTTGGAAACTTTGTTTTCACCTTCATTATTATTAATTATCTCTGATGAATTATTCAAAAAGGCGAAAAGCAGAAGCTTTAACTTCTGGAGCATATTTGTTTAAGAATAGCTCTAAATAAACTTCCGGCCTGTGGGCCACTTCTGACCTCCCAAGTAGTTGACAACAATGATTTAATTCTGATTTTGCCATAACTTTATATATATATATATATATATATATATATAAAGAAATTGGCTTTCACATGTGTCAACCTTGATTATACAACATTTTAATATCCCTTATCATGTTAGGTGTTAGAGGTTTCTGTTAAACGTTTCTAAAGCTGCAAATATTTGATGTCCTCAAAAAAATCTAAAGATCAATGGAAAAGAAATGACATGTCAGTGAAGTTACCATGATGTCTGATGATTAGAAATATATTCGGAGTATAAGTATACCTCTGATTCAATCCACCTTACTGCCTCTGAATGTTAGGAGAGTTAATGCTGCTGCTGCCTATGAAACTTCAATAAGCCAACACAAAGACATAGTTAGGATTCAGAGGTGTTCAAAGGCCAAAAAAGAGTTGTAAAAAATGTAATAATCTAAAAACATAAACAAATAAATGAAAAGGCAACTTTCAGAAAAAGGACAAAGCAGAAAGCCAAATTAAATAGCCAAAAAGACAAAAAAGGCTGAAAGAAAATATGATTTCTTTTAAAAGTCTGGCATCAGATGTGACTGGCATCAGGTTCTACAGATACTTCAAGGTACAGCACCAGACACATTCAGCCATCACCAATAACACAATACAGACCTTAAAATTTGATCCAATTTAAAAATGTAAAAATGAGGAAAAGCAAAAGCAGAAATCACTTGATATAATTTAGCAGGGTTAACCCCCCTCCCCCATCCCCTTCTCCCACTGGGGAACTAAAGACGAATGGGGTTCCCTGTAACTCCAAGAAATCACATCCTCTTCACCCTGACCCATTGAAGTAGACTGATCATCTGATGGAGCTGGAGTTAATAGTCTGATATGTAAAGGAAGACATACGTCTTCAGGAGCCTCACCCACACATCTGCTCCTAGAAACGGTGAGTTCAACAAGCCGTGTTGGCATTTAGCCAGGCTGTGGCCTTGGTGAGAGCAAACATGTATACAGAGCCAGAGTGTGAAAAGAGAAGGGAAATTAAACTGGTACAAATAAAATGTCAGACAGATAGGCAGAATGGTATGCAGCCACAATTTATCCAGTTAAGCAAGGTCAGTGGATGGACTTGAAAAGGAAAAGAAAGGAAGTGAGGACATCAGAAAAGAAGATGGTAAGAAAAGATTCGATTGAAACAGGAGAAAGCATGATGGTTTTCAAAGCTAATGCTCCAGCTGAGAGACATACTCTCATCACTTCTCCTACAGTAATACACTGAGTACACACAGTACTGTAAACTCTCTTTGTTTCAGTCAAAAACATCCTTGATCTGTGTGGATGGACTCCATTATTTATTACTACAGTCTACTATTGTTCCGTTGTCACAGTTCTGTCACACCAACCTTCAGCTCTCTGTGTTTCATTATTTACCCACAACTTGTGAGTCAGAATACGACTCAAATATCCTGCCATCCCAAGGGTTATTGTTTTGTTTTCTTTTTATGATTGGCCAAAACATTTAAATTCAGCTTTAAAAGATGTCTCTAAGTCCCCAAAAGACTCTGTTCTCATGTGAATGAATCACTATAGTGCAGTGTAGTCTAGTTGTGTTTATGTGTGTATTCAAGTAGTTCAATTCAAGTAATTCAATAATAATAGTCAAATTATTCTTGTTTCCTTAGTTTCTTGTCTTGTTAGTGAAATACTATAATAAAAAAAGTCTGAGCAGAGTACAATTCTTTACAGCCCTGTTTAAAAGTTCTGCTTTTAATTTAGCATTTCTAAAAGGGAGGGGCAACTCACAAATATCACGTTAGTAATTCAGTTATATCATTTGATATACAATGATCATATAACAAAAAAAGTTTTGAATGATGACAAACAATTTCTAAAAAGCACTTGATGAAAGCAGAAAGCTTACATGATGACCATTATTGGAAGAAAATACAGAAAACATTGCATTTTCAAGGTAATACAGATCTAAAATCACTTAAGTGTCACTGACGCAAAAAGCAGAGCCAGACAGCATGACTCAGTTTCGCTGGAAAACATAAAAGCTACGTACCAACATCCTAAAAGGATATTTTTTACCAGCACAAGGTCTCAGAAAAATTGAAACTAAAGCAGATGATGATCTGATCAGGAGATTATAGAAACAAGTATTAAAGTAAAATATCCTCCAGCTTTTCGTCATGCAAATTCACCTATCCTTCATTTTTATCTTGAAAAGAAAATTCCAACAATATCTTTTTACTCCACCTTGTGTTTCCCATCCTTTCCTCCTCCTTTTCCTCACCTCTCCTCCCTGCTGCCGTGCCAAGCTTGTTATTAGCCCCATAATTTATTTCCTTATGCAAACATGACCCTGTCCTCCGTGTGCTGGTTATTTTTCCTTACTGTATTTATTCATACTGTAGTCACTGTGAGACCAATAAAGGAGGAGATAAGAGGGACGTAAATTACTCCCTCTACATACCCACTGTATTTTACTTTGCTCTTCACACACACACACACACACACATACACACACACACACACACACATACACACACACACACACACACACCCACACACACACACATACACACAGAGATGCTTTCACATGTTCAGCATCCATAGTAAAAGCACATCATGTCATCGTTTGACTTATGTTCAGCTCATAGGAACATAAGTTAAGTAGTAGACGGAAGCGTAGGACAATGGAGGTAAAAACAATGATAATAAAGGCGCATAAATTAGGTTTTCATCGATGGGTCAGGTGATGCAATCTGCATTTTAATAGCTGCTATGTCTGAAGGGTGTTTTATGTGTCCAGTCACATCCTGCGGCTGTTCGCACACAGTGAAATCACAGTGACATTGGTTTAAATACTGATGAGACTGGATGAAGTGAAACCCATTTGATCTAATGGATACATTTGCTCGTGCTCACACACACCCTTGTGGGTTTGACCTTGGCAGCTTCTCCTTCGTCTTCTTCTGCTACCCCACCCCACTCTCCCCGTTCACTCTGCACACCCCCCGCCCACCAGGGTCCCACTCAACCTTGGTTAATTATTTCATGTCCCAGTGGCATATGTTCAACACACAATTTACCCGCAACAAGGACATTACAACCGCAGCTTCCCGCCTCTATACTCTGCCACTCACTGCCTCAATATAATGACATCATTATCCCCCATGTATATCTGTATATTTACATACCAAAGATATACATATATTATATTATTGGGTCACTTAAAATGCTCTCTTGACCTCATGTGGCTCAATATTGGCTCCAGCTCCCCACCAAACCATTCTTCTGAGTGACCCTGCAAAAGGATTATGTGGTGAAGAATGGATGGACGCAAAACAACCAAGGATAGAGGTTTGAGGTTTTGTTACTTCCAAATAAACCTTAAGTTTTATCCGTGCAAACACAATTTGCTTTGTTTAACAATTTGGAGTGGACTCAAATAGAAGACAACCATTTGAACTGAATATAGGGAATATAAGGTGCTGGCTCATGTTGCACAGCAGTTTTTATGATATTTTGAGCATCTTTGTGTATGATCACAGGTACATATATTTTCTATGACCCTAGGATAGAGACTGAAAAAAAAGATTTTCAAATAGTCACAGTTCATTTAAGGGTATTCTATGCACTACACTTAAAATAATTTAAAACTTTCTAAAAACCTCTTCTAGACTGAGCTCTCTTGATTTGCATTATTGCTGATGTTGCAGAATTATCTGGACCAATTTTATTTGGTCTGGGGGTCAAATCTAAGAAACGAAATAGAACCATATAGAGTAAAGCTCTTAGAGCACACATTTTATCTTAATGACAGAGGCTTATTTATCTGGCCCTAAACACAGCTGAGATATGACACCAATGTTAGGCTGCCGAAGGCCTATGGTTTGTTTCCACAGGTGGAGCCAAGTGCCCACTGTGTGGGCAAATACATTTGTTATGTATCACATATCCAAACCATCAAACAAAAGTTAGATCTAAATGATCACAACCCTCCACCAAGGCTGCACTGTTTCCCACAGCCTCAACTCCCATCTCTGTCAAGGCTAAAACATTGTTTTTGTGAAATAAACATCAACATGACCAGTCAAATCTGAGCATTTTTTTGCCTAAACTCTCACCTCGTTTCTCTCAAATGTTCATGTTAATCCGTCCTGCAGCCACTACCTACTGCTGTTAACCATCAGTTGGAGATAATTGTAAGAAAAGAAAAAAAAACACCCTGTGAAAAACACTGTTAACACACAGGTGTTTTTTGTTGGTGCCTCACTCCCTACACTCCCCTCAGCTGGAGTGTGGCCTGGTTCTGTAGCTTGAAGGGCATCATGCCCCAGATCTGGTCACTCTGGCTCTTCACTGCAAATATCTGTCCAAACTCACAATCACCATTTCAGCTGCTTCAGCTTCTAAAATGCTTCTGTACAATATTAGCGTTTTTGGACTAAGACAGAAATATGGATGTAACAAAATGTATCCATACATACAAATAAACATGATCTCTTCCTTTCTGGACTAAAAAACTGCAGTATTTGATTGGTCAAAAGAAAGTTGTAATTGTTCACAATGGACATAAGAGATTGTTCTGAACCAGGAAAGGAACTTACAGCATCATCATGCGGCCCACATCTGGCAACAGAATACAGGGGTCTAGTGGCCTTTACAAAGAGGTTTATTTGATCCATAAAAGTGCAGCAAAAAACGGCCCTCCTTCTTTAGCTCCTCTTTAAAACCCGACCTGTATGGTTTAAACTCTTTATGCTGAGTGGAGAGGACATGTTGGTTTAGTCCAAGGGTATCAAACTCAGTTTCACTAATATTTTTGATAAAAAAAAAAAAGGTATTTGATTGTCTACGCTGTGTAGTTTTGTAAAAAATGTTCTTATGAGTAATTCTTTGTACTTATTCATTCTAAAACAAGGAGGTCAAAGGCCTGTACTCTATTTGATGAATGACGCAGACAAAATTGATTAAATACAAATAACAAAGATAACAACATCAATCTTTACTGTAGAAAAGCCACCATTATCACTGTGGGAAATAAAAAAATGCAGGAATTCAATAGCACATGTAAAATCAATTTTAAAGCAATAAACCCTGGAATTAGATAAAAAATACTGATTTGCATGTTCTGAATTTGCTGCTTTGTTAGTCTTGAACTCAGTAACATTGTATTTATAAACCTTGAACAACGACCTTGAACAATATAATGACAGTGGACAATTATATTGTGTGTGTGTTTGCTGTTCACCCACATCAGTGAGATGTTCACAGCTGAAGTAAACAATGTCGTTCTTCAAAGTATCCCTTTGCCCCGTATCTCTGGCCTCTTTTTATTTTTGGAACTGCTGTAAAATAGTTGATTATTTTAACTAACCTAAAATCAGTTTTACTAGGCAAAATTATCTTATTATTATTATTACTAATATTATTATTAATTAATAATAATGTTTAATGTAGTCTTGTGGCAGTTTGTTTTGCTAATAACTTTTAAAACAAAATACATTTTAAGCTCTGTTTTGACTAACTTTTATCATTGTGATTATTAATCTAATTGCTAAAATTGTTTGACTAGTCCTTAGGTCTATCTGATTTGTAGCTTCAGCTACTAAAAGAGCTCTTTTATGTAGTCTAATAGACCAATATAATCTGGCCTACGTAGGCTGTATGGTTGTCTGTATATTGTTTGTCAAATATGATTCATATTCTTCTGCCTTTTCCTCCTTATGTCTAGGTCACTTTTTTATTTTTATCAAACGTATAACAGTTTATGCTGTAAGAAGTGATTAGATCATTTCTGACTAGCACCGTTTTTTCCCCCCAAGGTTTAGTTTTATGTTGACTGGTTTAATAACCCAGGAGTTTAATGCTGCTCGGCTGGCCTGGGAACGCCTTGGGAACCCCCAGAAGAGAGGAAGTGTGTGGGGAGAGGGAAGTCTGGGAGTCCCTGCACAGACTGCTGCCCCCACGACCCGGCCACAGATAAGCGGACGATGATGGATGAATTTAATAACTATTAAAATTTCAGTTAACCTATTCATCTACTTCTTCATCTTAGGCTAACCTCTACACTAACTTCTAATTTTTTTCTGGGCAAAATTTAAATTGTACTTTACCAAATTGTACTTTTTAAATTTTTTTTACTACATCTGGACTAACTGCTAGCTATGTTTTGGGCATTTATGTGAGTATTTCTCTGCAAGTTACTTGCCTAAACGTATTCAAAGTTTTTCTTTTTTAAAGCTATCGCATGATTAGCCAGAACCTATTGATTGTGTTTAATAAACTACAACACCAAAACCTTGGTAATAAAGTGGCCCCACACCATCATTGGAAATGTTTAACTATATTAAATAAACAATTCAAAATGATGTATTATAAAGGTCCTAGGTACAAATTCCTGTTTTTCAGAGAAATTTGACCCCAAACTGCTACTAGGGTTTGACCCATCTGTGTTATTTTCCAATGTTTTTATGTCAAAATATCTGCTTACAGTTATGGTATGATATTTAGACATTTAGTTTGGGAATGACTTATTTTACTCCCCCCCCCCAAAAAAAAACTGTGCATTGTTTGTACAGTAACAATGCAGTTGAAAGGTGAGTTTTTCTATTTACGTAACAATCATTATTTCTTATCAAAACTACAAAAATCAAGAAACATCAAGGCACGAATTTTATCATGAAATTGAAATTCTCTATGTTGACAGACATTTTTATTAAAAGCTGATAATTACTCATATGTTAAGGTTATGTTAAAAAAGTAATTCTAATATATATATAATATAATAATAATTCTTCCTTCAACTGCCGTCTCTTTTAAAAACGAATAAATAAAACAATACAACTTATTGATTTATTTTTAAATTTTTAACCTTGTTTTCAATTTGCACATTTAGACAAAATTTGTTTTTCTTCTTTCTTTTTGACACACATGCTTCTATTCACACAGCTTTTCTCAGCTTGGACATCATTAATTATTATTTTAACATAGAACATTTTTAATCACATAAAAGTTTATAAATTAGTAGCTTGTCCTGGCAAAAATCCTTGAAATATCCAGATTTAAATTGTCTCAAAATGTACTTTTAATAAAAATTGCATAACTCCAGGGAAACTGGAGTTCAGTTGCCCTCGATGTAACTACTTTTGGATTAGTACAAATAATAGTATTTTAATTAAGTTTTGGGATCGGTGCATCTTCACTGGAACAAACTAATTTTCAGTCATTCTGGGTCAGATGATTTTACCTCTTTAGAAATGGTGACTGGAGCACTTGACATGAATTGTTGACATCAATGCGATTCTCTCGGTTCATGGGTTTCAAATGAGATTTTAAGTTCTACAGTATGGAAGCCATAGTTATTGTGTTAATATAATGTGTGGTTAATCAAATAATTCGATTAATTCATTAAGTAGCTGTTTGGACATGCAAATGAAGGATTATAGTTTTCTGTCATTCATTAAAAAAAAGGAAAAATCTCAGCTTTTACAGTACAGATTTTGCCAAACTGTGCCAAAGCACCATACAACTCTGTATTAACTAAAACTTCACAAAGGTAATGTCCAACTCCACTTCTTTCTGAGGCAGCTAACCCTAACCATAACAAACCCTGACTAACCCTAACCCTTGATGTTTAATAAAAAATAAATAAATACGAAACAAAAATGATAAGAAAAGGTAGTTTGGGTTTAAAAAAATCCACCTGGATAATACTAAAGTGCAAACAAGTAGTACAAAAGGTATATTTTTAATAATTAAACGATCAAGCACCATATAGGTGAAAAAAGAAAATTAAATAATAATATAAAAGAAAATTTTTATACACATCTAGTAATGGGCCTGATGATGGGGGCTCATGGGCTGGAGGTGGGCCCTGGGTCTGGAGTTTGAGACCCTTGTTCTTGTGTGTTTGGTCTTTCTTCTCTCATGTGGCTAAAGTAAAAGGGACTATAATGTTATAATAAATTAGGCATGGAAAAAAAGTCCTTCACCTTTTTCTTTGTTTCATCTGCTGCAAGGACATCTAGTGTAAACTTTCTTTAGATACCGACCTGAAGCACACAGAGTTTATAATTACTGAAACACAATCAACATCTGGAAGGACAAAGGTGGGTAACCAAAGAGTAAATTCATACCTCACACACACTCCTGTCTTTTAGCAAATGTAAGAAACCCCTTGGCCCGACACCAACTCAATTCTCACCTCATCCCTAAAACCCAGATGTTTCTAAAATTGACACCATTGAGTCAAAATGTCCTGAATATGAAAGCTTTGAAAATTAATCTTCATAATAAGTGAAAGACACTTGCGACGCGGTGTCTCTCTCACACACACACTTTCACTCTGCTGTAAGTTGCAACACAAGTCCTTGGAAAGTGCAGTATTCAATTTGTAACTATTAAGGAGGCAAGGACGTCGTCCTTTTATGTGAGCAGCCACAGAGAGAAAATGGAGGCAGTCACCATGGTAACCGCCAGGAGAGCGCCCAACAAATCAACAAACAATGCGCTACAAGACTTTTTCCAGAGAAGCCATTTAATGCAAAGCCTTGAATCATACAAAGTTGTCCTCTTAAGTTTCTGAGACCTGCCTTGGAGTGTCTGTGGCCCCAAGTGTTGGGTAAAGAAAAAAGGGAAAGAAATCCTTTTGTTTTTCTCTACACTTGTCTCTCAAGGTCTCCAGCTGAATTTGCCAAAGAGCTGTCTTCTTGGGTCATGGCAACTTCAGAGTTTCATTTGTGTATGATCAGCCTCCAGGAAACGTATGCTGCTGCAGAAGTACATAACACAACAATACTTTCTATTCTGAAAACACACCTTGTCTCAGGCTACACACACACAGACAGAAAAAACTCCTCAGTGGTAGATGAAACGCTCTTTCAAGTCTTTAAGGTTTAAAGGTGGAGAGAAACAATAAACATGTCACCTTCCAGGGATTGTTATAACAGTGGATTTTTCCCTCCCTCTTTTATCCAGCTCTTACTTTCTCAGGACCCTCACTGGTTCTGACCTTGAACTAAAGTTCTGCTTTCACCACATAAGGCTGCAGCACGACTGAGGTGCTCTGACTCAAATTGTCTGAATCACACAGCAGTTCGTCTTAAATACTAAAAGTAAAACATTTTTGTCACGAAGTTATCGCTGCTCAAAGTTCCAGGCATACACTAGTGTTTTTCAAGGAACAGGTTGCAACCCAAAAGTAAGTGCCAGAGATTAATTTTGTTAGTTGCAAGACTGGATGTATGAAAGTTAGTTAGTAGTTAGATAGTGGACCTGGAGTGGAATATTCTGGATTCAGAGCAAATATTAATTATTCAATAAAATCTGAGTGAAAACTTGTTTACTTTGCTGAAGATTTGCAATAAATCTAACTCCATCAGATGTTTTTTTTAAACCAAACTAACAATACAAATTCAAAAGCTACTGATGTGAAAGTCATCCCTCCAGGAAGAAGTAACAGTACAGGGGGAGTGGGGAGGGTTGCCCAGTGTGGGGCAGTAGGTTTATCATAATTACTAGTTTTGTGATGTCACAAAGCAAATAACTTTGAGACACATTTCAGTATTTGGCAGATTATAAATCATCGCCATGATCTGGGGCTTGGACTCAATCGCTCTGGATTTAATAACAATTGACTGACAGTGGCCACAGATGACAACACAGAGTCACTAAGACATGGGTCATCATCAGAGTATCAGGTGACGTGGGCGCATTCTAGACAAACACAAGTGTCCCCAGGATGCTGTATTCTGTTCATGTCTTTAAATTTATGTAATTGGACTGGGAAAAGACCAAATGCAGACCTGTTATTAAAACGGGCCTGGGTCCAGCTGGCATTGGAG